GTGTGTGTACTATAAAGGTCAAACACTGCAGGGCTTACACTGTCCTGTCCGGGCTGTGCAGAAAAAAGCTGAAAACTCATTGTGGTCTGACCTACAGTCGGTTTTCTCGAAACCACTAGAAAAAGGTTCCCGGTTAAATTTGAGCATGCGCTTTGTAAGAACTTCCTGTTTGCAAATGAACTACAAAAAACTACAGCTAGAAATGATTGACTTTCTTATCTCAATATTTAAGTATTGTAGTTCTATGGAGATGAACTGCCAATCTCCAGATGTTAGAAAACAGGTTTGTTGTGATGCAAAGAATTATGATTCCAACCAAACAAAAATCATATCACAGTCTGTCAAAATAATCATACTAGGATGTATTTGTGTTATATTCTTTTCTGGGCTGACAAGAAAAAGGGGGGAGAGAGTGAGGGGAGGACACGCAACAAAGGGCCACATGCAGAACTCGACCCCACAAGGTCCACTCTTAAGGTTTTAAATCTAACGTTGTGACCGAACTTGCACAATGAAATGTGTTTAAAAGCTACAGACAAACTAGTAAGTGGACCTTAAAATTATTCCGTCATACTGCTATTTTCAAGATCAAGAATCAACTGTCAGTTAGCATTTACCACTGTGTTCACACCTTGGTTTATTTGGTTATGACCTTTTTTAGGTCAGTAAATGTTCCCATAAACTGTTTATCTTGAAAGCAGGTTCCTGTTCGTGTTAAGTTTTCATTCTCACCAATCACCGTCAATCATTTGTTTATTACCTACATTTAGCAAAATGCTGCTATTTACATTTAATCGGCTTTGTTCATACCTGTTCAAAAACCACTCCAGTCCAGAGTCTGGACGAAGTTCTCAAAATGTGTGTGAATGCAATCTATACAACATACTAGTTTAATTTCCACCACTAGCACATGAAGCCATCGAAGGCTTTACTCCCCCCTCCACTCTTCATCAAAGAGGTTATATTCCCTAAATCAAATTCAGCGTATAGCCTGGCCAAAACATTTTGTTTATACTCTGGCCACATCTGCCTCGCATTAGCAAAGAGGGAAGTGGCTTTTGTGTCATTTCCTGTCACTGCGCTGGTTGTTAATCTGTCAAAACAACAACGATGACATTATCTTGCGTGGTCATCCGTACGAGGGTCACGCAGTAAGATGTTTTTACTTTTGATATCAGCTGCCGTTGGATGTTAATGTCACATTGAGATCACAAGAAGAAACATCTCATCACGATTACCCCCACCCCCACCCCTCTCTCTCTGTCACTCACACAAAAATCAAGGGATGATTGAGAAACTCCCAGTGCAACTGGTTCCCACATGAGGATGACCCAATTAGCCCACAGTGAGACTTTGTACTTTGTGTTTGGGTTGAATGAGACTGCCAGCTGCCTGGGACTCCTGGCATCGCCTGCTGGCATGGATGCATCAATGGCCTATTAGCTCCTTGCAGTGCGGCCGCGCTGACCAGCTGACAAAGTGCGATGACGAGCAATTAAATCGGAGGTGAGAAGGAAGTGATTATGAGGGTGAAGAGCAAAGATCAGCTCCGAGGGGAGTCGTCCTTACGTTGGTTAATGTGGACAGAAATCTGCGTGACTGCGTCCAGGGTGGGGAGGGGGGCCGACCTCAGCAACTAAACTTCCACCCTCACTTTCGCCACTAAACCCATCACTTATGAAAAGGATTCAATCAATTAATCACCAGCTGGACACAAAACTCCTTCTTACATCTTGGTATAGAAACATCTTTTTTTATCCCCCCTCCACAGCTTTGCTTTCGGACAAAGTGTTATTGATACAGTGTTGAAAGCATGTTAAGTTAAGCCTGGCAAGCCCCAATCAGCCCCTTCTGTAGAAAGCAGGGCATTGATATGCTGATCGTAGCCTGGCTGTGTCCACTGGAGGGTCAGTGCACGGAGCCCAGAGAGAGGAAGCATCTTCTGCCTGCTAAATGAAACAGCCCCCCTCACTCATTGACTCACTTCCCCACACTCTGCTTCGCTTCTGAGTGACTCCTCTGACCGATCTGCAACAGCATGTGACTAACGCATGCCTCTGCAATTCGATTTTCACGTTAGTCCCGGAGATATGTCATCGCGTCACAGTCACTTCACGATGGTAGCGGAGCAAAGGCAGCGCTCTTGGTTATTTTTTGCCTCCACTGTGCTGCATTTCATGTCAACATTAACGACGATGAGACGAACCCTTGGCCAGGAGTGTTCAATCATGAGAAAATGACTGTGGAAAACATCGCCAGAGCCAAATGAAAGGGGGCAGAGTAAATTCGGAAACACTTGTTCTCACCGGATTTAAATTCTCATGGTCGAGGAGGCGGAAGAGGTGTCCTTGTGTGACCCTGATGATT